GCACTGGAAAAATGATGATAAATGTTACGCTTTTAACGGGAATATGAGTTCTTTGCAATTTTCATCAAACTCAAAAAATCCTTCACTAGTCCAGAATCTGAGATTTCTGGCAGTGACCGATGTGTGGGAACTTTGCCCACGAAAGTAGCTGGAGTGCCTGGTAGCCACTGATGAATGGACTGGAACATATCACAGCAGGAATTATCAGAAGAAGCTGGTAGTAATCGGGGAGTAGGCACGTTGTTAGAAGAAACTATCTAGAGTACTTGGTAGTGACGGTCAGATAGGCATTTTGTCGACAGGAACCATCTGTAGCAGGTAGTGCTACCCAGTTTTTACATAAAACTTCTGAACTTGTAGAATTAGTACTTGTAGAAGCTTGTATTCATGGAAACGATAAGAGGTTGAGAAAAGCTTATCAATGTGCGTCCTTATCGATCTTTGACTTGAGGGTGAGGAGGCAGTCGTGGTTTGTTTCTTGGATCCTTGATGGCAAAACAGTGTAGGTGCTGGTTCCAGTACTTCCAATACTAACTATTGGTGCGACTATGTGCTTCATGGCGTTTCGACGTGATCTGATCTGTACGACTTGCGCCTTAAGTGCATCTTTAAAGAACCTATTTGCATTTTAGTACATCAGAAACTTGTGCTGGGACGCTAATCCAATTTACTGCTTGAGCCACCGCTTCTCAGTGTTTCGACAGGATCCGTACGGTTTGCGCCTTAAGTGCCTATTTAAAGGATCTATTTGCATCTTCGTACATCAAGGTCTTGTTGTGCTGGAGCGCTATTCCAATTTACTGCTTGAGCCACCTAAGTCCCGACTTCATCATTCCATTCATTCTAATTATGATTCATTTGTACAAATCAGCTTAAAAAATAAGCACGTTATTCGTCCATTTCAAGGAGTATCAAATGGTGCGGTAAAATTTGTAATTCTTGGTAAGCGATTGCTAATTTTCATTCGTTCACTAAGCGTCTCAGTCCTACATCAGGTTTCGTAAAGTGGCAAAAAATGAAAACGGGCATATTTGAAGAGGAAACGAGAAAAAAACGAAACAGTAAGCCTGGAGTTACTAAGTTTATCGTTCGGTACGTGGACGTTTTGTGACGTATTTGAAACGACGACGAGTAGTTTCAGTTATCTCGCTTACATATCCTGTTATAAGTGGCGCTGTTGTAGCTCCGGTCGTCGTTGATTCTCGATTTGTAGAGATTCCTGTCGATTCTTGGCTTTGGGCTTCGTCTTCTAGGAAAAAATTTCTTTAGGACTCATTTAAAAAAACACACACACTTAACTTTTTCACTTTTTTTGCGAATCCCGAACACTGATACAACACAGAAATGCAATAAAATGAGGTCATGCCCATTATTTGGTGTGCCTATTAGCCTATCTGCATATTTTAAATGTGGAATGTCAAGTCGATCCGAATCCTGAATTTTGAGCTCAAGTCAAAATTTAGTTTTGAAAAGCTAGACAATACCTAACATCGATACTAATATGCGGCGTAGTGCATCAGTTGAAAACTAATATGCATATTTGACGGAATCTGCCCGTATAATGCAATCTGTTTTAGTGCTCGAACAGTTACAGGCCTTTACATTAACAGTTACAGCTTTGGTAAATGTATTGGCACCGCCAACTAGAGTCTGTGAAAATATTAATATTCGAAATCAATTTCCGAATAATATTAAAGTCGGACTTTTGAACCCAAAATCGAATCCTGGTCGATATCAGGGGCCAGAGCCGAATTCAAGGAGGAAGGGAGATATCGATGTCCGAAACAAATTCCAGAATAATGTTAACACAAAAAATCACGCCCTGACTAATATTAATACCCAAATTTGATTTCCGGATAATATAACCGAGTTTTTTCACGAAACTCTCATAATTTTTTCACAACCGAATTCCGGTATTTATAGTTAACGAAATACAACTGTCACTGCGATTTTTAGAAAAAAAGGCTTTTTTATGGGCAAATTATCAAAATTCTACAGAGCAGGTGTCAAATAAACCTGATAAAGGTTCCTGATCACGGAACTGGTCTTGAGCGATGGTACTCTCCTCCTTTTTCGAAATGCTCTCCTGATGGCTCATTTTACCATTATTTTCGCCCAAATACTGAAGCTGTCGGATATTGTCTTGTGGAAACTGCAATCGCTTGAGAGCTGACAAGGGTTTATCTTCGTTATTATACTCAGGTCGACTTCGGACAACCTGAAGTAGTTTAAGGATGAGCAAAAATTGGCTAATCAGCTTCCGAAAACAAAAAAACAGCCCTAAATTTGGTTCTTGGCTTCGGCAGAAGCTGTTTCCGCGGTGTGCCTAAGTTCACCCCCGATTTGCCCTAGAACTGGTTGGCCGCGTTAGCACTGACCCTAAAACTGCTTGACCGCATTAGCACTGACCGTTTGAAGTCAGATTTGTAACTTTGAGGGTTCTATGTAAAATTAGATCTCTAACCTCACTAATTTCGTCTTCTGGGTCTGGATTTTTTGTTGTAAGAACGCGAAATTCTTTCCTCTCGTTTGAAAATTCTTCAGATTGAGGTTGTACTGTTGGATATGCTTGATTTTCAATTTTTGCTGAATCGTTTCTGAATTCAGCTATATCATTCACGGTATCCTGGTATCCGTTGCTTGTATCATCGATATTCTCATCACTTCCTTGGATTTCTTTATTTGTAAAATCCAGATCTGCAATTCAGATCAAACATTATAATTTCTAGGAAAA